ATAAGTGACTTGTCCTTTCTGTTGATAAGGATAGAAGTTTCCAGTCAGTTATCAGTTTAAAGGAACTCAATCTACACAGATATCTGTAGAAGTTCTTATATGGCCATACACTTGCCAGGCACTCCTTTTCAAACTGTGCATATTCTTTTTCTGCTTTGTAACTGTACGAGAGCAGAATGCACCACCAAGGCCAGCTACTGGCACCAGCACAGACCACTGAGAGTTTGTTTACATCGTAGAACATTAAAAGTAGAGCAGTTGAGAACACTTCTTTTTCCTTTTTGAAGGAAGTCTTCTGATTTTGTACCCACAGCCAGGATGTATTGGACCATAACAGTTTATCAGAGGATCTCTCACTGTAGAAAGATCTTGCATGTATCAGCCAAGATACTTTACCATGCCCAGTATGTATCTCAGTTCTGGTACATTCAATTCTCTAACTGCTTTTACTTTCTCAAGGGAAGGACTAATTCCATCTTTGGTTACTTTCTGTCCCAAAAATTCAATTTGGTATAGGCAGAAAACACACTTCTCTTTATTTAGCTTGAGTACAGACTCACTGATTAAGCTCAGAACTTTGAGAGTTTTATGTTCTCCCAATGATGACCTGTACACTTTTAAAATTTCATCCCTAAAAACAACAACCTCATTTATGTTCTTAAGCAGCTCTGCCATCTTTCTTTGGAAAATTTCAGGAGCGCTGGTAATCCCAAAAGGTAATCTTTGAAAGCAAAATCTCCCAAACAGCATAATGAATTGTAGCGGGGTGGTTACCCGCTCCGGCCCTGACAGGGTTAAGGCCAGCCCTGGGAGAGGCCTGGGCTGTAAGGAAAAGCCCAGGCTGCTTAGGAAAGCAGGCACAGCTGGGGCCATACCCCAAACAGAGCACAGCAGGTCCTTATAAAAGGCTGCTAGCTTGGAGCTAGAGTAGCTCTTTCTGGTCTTGGAGGAAGCAGGGCCTGGCTGTTGGTAACAAAGGTACTGGGAGTGAAGCAGGGCTGGGGAAAGGCCAGAGAAGCAGGGGAGCTCCAGGCTGGTGACTCCCCAGGCTGCAGGGCCTGGTCCTAGGACCACCCCTGAGGTACTACAGCAGTAAAAACAGCTGTGCAGAAGTTCTGGCTCTGGCTAAAGCTTGGGCTCTGAAGCCCAGCCTCCTTCTAAGCTTCAACCCAAGCCCAAACATCTACACGGGCAGTTCTCAAACTGTGGCTCAGGACCCCAAAGTGGGTCGTGACCCAATTTTAATGGGGTCGCCAGGGCCAGCATTAGAGTTGCTGGGATCTGGGGGCTGAAGCCAGAGCTCTACCCCCACCCGGGGCGGCAGGGTTTGGGCTGCGGCCCCCAATTCCCCCACCCAGGGCTGAGGGGTTTGGGCTCTGCTCCTCCCTCCCCCCCGGGTCATGTAGTAACTTTGTTGTCAGAAGGGGGTCGCGATGCAATGAAGTCTGAGAACCCCTGATCTACCCAGCTATTTTTAGTCCCATAGCATGGGCCCTGCAAACCCAAGGCTGTCAACCTGGGCTCTGAGATTCACTGAAGCTCGCTGTGTAGTTGTACCCTCAGCAGTCACTTCCCATACTGCCTTTATGTGGCAGACAGTGGCAAAATGTCCAATTTTTGTGAATTTACAGCATTTGGCTGCTTTAGCAGAGCACTCACCTCTTGGACTGTGATCTTTTCCACATCTTGTGCATCTAGTCTGAAAAGTCAGATTTTGCCTGGGGCTTACCCCATATTGCTTTGAGAACTTATTACAATTGCTTTTTGCAGCTGTATTATATCTCCTATAGTGATTCTGTTTGTAAGTCACTTCCTCTAGGTTACTTTCTGGTGGCCACTGGTTTCTATTTTGAATTTTAATCATTTCCAGATGTGTCTCTTCACTTTCAGTTTCTCTGGAAGTCCCTTATCTAAAATGCCAATCGCTACTGATTCTAATGTGCTCTTCCCTTTTTGTCTTCAAAGTCCCAGTTTTCTGCCATGCCATACAAGCCTCTCATAAAAGAATCCAGACTCCTCACATTTTTGGACATGCTGGTAGAAACATGCTCACTCAAACCACATTACGGTGAGGTATAAAAAGCTCATAAACTTAGCCAGCAGCACAGCATAATTGTTCTTGTGGGTCTCCACTCCAAAGGCAAAGAATTTAAAGATATGTTCAGCTTTCCTGCCCATGGCCATACACTACAAAACTACACTGCACCTCCCCACTCTTCTCTGATGTGGAGACATGCAAATTGCTCCTTCCAATCAGGCCAGTCTAATGGTCTGTTGAAGCTGAAGCTCTCTGGTGAACGGAACTTTGGCAGTTTGACAAAATTCTGCACTGTCTATTGTTTGTCTTCTGACACCGTGTCAGGTTAGTCAGGCAGAGGCAAAATGGACATTAGCAACAATAACTTTACTGTAAAAAAGAATGTAGACTGTCTTCAGCACTCTTCACACCACATCACTAAACGTTATAATGCAGTTTAAACTTTCCATCACAACATGTAAGTAGATAACTCAGAAAAATAAAGGGCAGTATCAATGTAAAATTTGATACATGAGTATTTTATTGAAAATGTGTCAATGCCCATAACATTTCAATTGGCCTCCAGTCTTTTCTCAAAGCAACTGTAGTTCAGTAAAAACGTTGTAAGTACAAGTAAACATTTTTATGTAATGACCAGCTTTCAAATTTTATTTCTGTGGTGGAATAATAAACAGGTAAATGAGGTTGTATAATTGACTTTAGTTTTATCTTCACACTAAGCAGAAAAGTGCCAGAACATGGATCGCTGACACTTTCTGCTTGCACTTTTATTAGCAGAAAAGCTGCTGTTCGATATATCCTGGGAGCCCGGAGAGAGGCTATAGGCAGTGGTGGGCTTTTTCATCTCAAGATGTCACAGGACCCACTACTTTCATTCCCTTCCTGCCTCTCCTCTCTCTCATCCAGGCCTATGTTTGGAATTCAGCGGATCAGGACTACTTGCTGCTACTTCTGCTTATCTGATGCAATGGGTACAAATAACCTGGGCAATAAATACTGGGCATTTAGCTACAATCATTAGTAGTCCCCCAGCAGCTCCTATGCTTACCTTGATTCTTTAATACAAGATAAAATTGTTTCTTCCTAGGACTTTCAAGGTGGTCAATTGGGTTTTCACATTCTGCTACCCATCAACTAGTGACATACATTCGGGACTCTGAGCGTTGGTTTTACTAAATAAGATATAATCTTCACTGGAAAGTTTCCATTCTTTGCTTTTTATTTTCTCCCCACCTCCTTTCAGTTGAACAGTTATATGCCCCAGTGAAAAAAGAGACAGGAAAAATTAAACAAAGAAAAAAATGAACCAGAGGATTATTATTCTGATCCTCCGGCGGCTACTGGAACAGAAACTGAAACAGTTTTGCAGATAAACAGTGGTTAAGGCTTTGCAGGCAAAGCTAAATGTTTATGCATATAAATTTTTGAAGTTAATACTACCCAATGCAAACACTTGTTCTTACGTTTTACAAAACAAACTAGACAGCACTAAACTCCCTTTTTTCCTTGAGAAACATTTTTATTAATGTAAGAAAAAAGTTGGTATAGAAGAGCACAGAAAGAAACCCCATATCACAATATTTGCAAGGCTGATCCATGTATTCATGCTTACTATGCCGGGACAGAAGAAGAGTCTTAGGGAGAATATAGAACTATGGGGGGGGGTATTTAGTTTGACATTGCTATGAGCTGTTTATTGTTTTAGCTTTTGTATGTGGACTTAGAAACCGTCAGATAAATGCATTTTATATGCTGAATAATAAATAAATTTGAGAATTTTATATATTACTGAACAACCTACAATGGCTGAAATTGTTTTGGAGGGAAAATTTGTAACTTTCTTTGGAAATGTATAAAACGTTCATATTTTTGGGGCTTGTTAAAAATCTGGATCACAAGCCACCTGCATGCACACTCATTTTAATGTTTTTTCAAGAATTTTTCTGTGAATGTTTTCTTTAGATCAGTAAATGGAAAAATAAATATTTAGATCAGAAACTTCATCTGGTTCTGCACTTTGTTTGTGCACCTCATCTCAGAAGATAAAGATCTGAATTTCTGAAAAAAATAACTGACAAAGTGATGTAGAAGCGCCTGTTCCCCTCCCCGTGTTATTATATGGTGCCTGTCGCTTTAGGATCTGAGCATCTATCTTGAAGTAATGAGTGTATTTGTCTCCCCCGCTAGGGAAGTGCTATTAGCCCCACTTTGCACATGGGAAACTGAGGCAAAGGGTATATTAAATGACCTGCCCAAGATCACACGGGAAATCTTGGGCGGAGAGGGAGGCAGTTCCCCGTGAGATGCAAGCCGTGACTCTGGGCAGGCAGCCGGGCCCCTGCGCAGTACCTGCCACCGGCCCTTCCTTCCACTCGCGGTAGCCTCGAGCAGGGCTCGTCCATCTCTCCCTTGCAGGCTGGTACCTGGGAGGGGTGGAGGCATCGCTGCATCTGTCTGTCTCGAGAGGCCTCCACTTCCCATTCCGCCAGCTTCTCGGGGTTTCAGCGGAGGAGGGGGCCGGTCACGGCCCGCCTGGGCACACTCCCCGTGGGAGCTCAGCGTGCGCACAGCACCTGTGCCCGGCGGGCGCCACCTCCCCTGCCCGTGCCCAGCAATGGCGCCCTTTGTTGTCCCTGTGCGGCGGCCGCCCCTTGCCGCATCCCATCCCGGCGTCCGCCAGGGCTTCCCGCGCACCGGCCCGACTCAGCCGCCTCCCCCTGCGGCAGAGGCCGAGCAGGCCGGAGAGCGCGGCGCTTTGTCCCTGGTACCCAGGCAGCTGCCCCAGGTTCCCGCAGCCGGGAGCAGCAGGGCTGCCCATCCCCCGGCAGCCAGGTGCAGCCCGCGACCGGCCCCCGCCGCACGCCGAGCCCCAGGACCCCGCTACAAGCCCAGCCCCAGGACCCCGCTGCACCGCGCGCCCTGGACCCCGCCGCACGCCCAGCCCCGGGACCCGCCTGCTCACCTGCCCTGCACATCCTGACACTCCTGGCCGCTGGTCATCGTGCCCGGGCCCGGGGAGCAGCGGGCGCGAACGGCTCGCGCAGGCTGTAGCGGCTCCAGCTGCAGGCACCGCGCGGCTGCACGCCTCAGCGCGGGAGGGGAGGGGGGATGGGGAAAAAACAACGGAAGCCTCCGGTGGGGAAGCGGTCGGGTCCCGTAACCGGGGAACGCGCATCCCTCGCCGGGCTGCTGCTCCCGCGGCAGGGACCAGGCGTCTCCCGTCCGCAGCGCCGCGGGAGAAGGAAGAACTGCTGCAGTCGGAGACTGGCCAGGGCCAGAGACGGGGGAATCCCCGGAAAGGAGATGACAGCACCAGCAATGCAGAGACCTGGCAGGATGGAGCCGCAGGGCAGAGCCGAGTGTCACAGCTGCTGGTGCTCCATCACCCCTGTGCTTTCCGCGGCAGGGAGCACTCCCAGCGTGGCTGGCGAGCACCTCCAGGGCTAGGACTCAGGAAATCGGGGTTCTGGTCCTGACACTGCCTGCTCGGAGACCTTGGGCAAGTCGTCTCTCTTTGCTTCAGTTTCCCTATCTGTGGACAGGGCATAATGAGCCCAGCCGCCTTTGTAAAGCACATTGACATCTACTGATGAAAAGCCTTATATAAGAATTAGGGGGTGTTGTATTATGGGTACTTGTATGGCCCCATTACTGTAGTACAGGGTGGGCAAACTTTTTGGCCCGAGGACCGCATCTGGGTGGGGAAATTGTTTGCAGGGCCATGAATGTAGGGCTCGGGTAGGGGATTGGGGTGCAGGAGGGAGTGCGGGGTGCAGGAAGGGGCTCAGGGCAAGGAGTTGGGGTGTAGGAGGGGCACTGGGTGTGACAGGGGGCTCAGAACGGGGTTGGGGTGCAGCAGGGATCTCAAGGCAGAGGGTTAGGAGGCTCAGGGTAAGAGGTTGGGGTGCAGGAGAGGTTCAGGGTGCGGGCTCCGGCCTGGCGCCACTTACCTCGAGCGGCTCCGGGGTGGCAGCTGTGTACAGCGGGGCTAGGGCTGGCCCCGCGCCACTCCCAGAAGTGGCCAGCATGTCTGGCAGTGGGTCCTGGGGGTAGGGTGGGGCATGTGGCTCCCATTGACTTTACTAAGGGCTAGATCGTAGCCTGGCCTACATGCCCATGCAGAAGGGTAAAACTTCCCCTTAAGATTCTGAGCAGCATTCTCCAAGCTTGAGTCCAGGCATGTAGGGGAAGCTGGTACTGTCCACCTATTATTCTCCCATTCCACACAAGTGGGCAGAGAGAGGTGGAAGTGGATGGAGCACTACTACGAACTATTTTGAAAACACTAGTATATGTTCAATAAACTACATACTGTTTTCATATTGGCTTTGTTTTCATAGGGCTACCATAAAGATTTGACAGCTCAACACATGACCTAACTTATCTTTCTTTAAAAGGCTATGTCATTCTCAGTATTTTCAACCCCATTCATTCAAAAGTTATGAAGAAGGCACCCGAAAAGCAGTTCCACAGGAATTGCTTTCCTCCCGCCCTCCCCCCACCCCGATACAGAAATCTTTTTTTGAAATTAAAACTATGCTAGTAAGCCATACTGAAACCAATCAAGCACCTCTGGATTTACATTGATGTAACTAACTTCTGCCTTAAAGTATCCCTCTATCTCTTGCATGCAGAGAGCCAAAATCCTGCTCTCAGTTACATCAATAGAAATTTTGGGTGTTCCAAGATTACATGATTGATAGGACCAAAAGGAGGTAAAAATTCCCATTGACTTCAGGTCCCTAGTAATAATTTATTATATGTAGAAGCAGAAAACCTTCTGCCAAAAGGGAAGCTTAAAAACAGAGACCACCACACATGTTGGTAACTTATGCAGCTTCTACATCTGTGTGTATTATAAGAAAGATCCTCCCTCCCCCCCAAAAAATCAAATAAATAAACAAAAACCCCTGCATTAAAAGAAAATTAAGGTTGCAAAGTCAATCGCTCAAAAGATAGGAAATGCCAGAATTAAGATTGCCCCAGGCATAGTTCACCCCCATCATGTGTCTGTAGTATGATACAGTCTTTAATTACATGATCCCATGCTATTTTTTCCTACTGGTGCATGGGGCAGCCTTAATTCTGGTTTTTCCTAAGTTTAGAGTGTTTGACTTTTCAACCTTAATGTTCTTTTAAGAGAAATTTTTAAATGTAATTTTCTGGGGTTTTTTTAAACTTAAAAAATAATAATGTTATCATGATGATATGGGAGATTGTGAGTGACTCCATCTTGTATCCCTGGCCTCCATTTTGAATAAACAAGAGTCACTCCACCATTAGATGAAAGCTACAGGTCACATTGCATTAAAAAACATAGAATTGGCAGGAAAACCAAAGTGGCAGGGAAAGTAAACAACGATTAGCAGATCATACAACTGTGAGGTAAATAACAGTCACTGGCTAAAAATAGAACTGGCAGTTATGATGTCATGTCTAAAAATAGAAATGAAAAATGATATGAAGGTTGGTGGCTTCTATGGTGGCGGTGCAGTCGTGACAGACTCTAGCCAGAGAAACAGATTCATCCTACCGCAGCTGGTACGCCTCACCTAACGGGGTGAGATTTTACTTACTTGCTGTAATTGTAGCCGGGGATCATCTAATTAGGTCCTATTGTAGTTTTCAATAAATTGTTAAAACGACCTGGTCTTTCTCAAACTTTACTGTATTGCTCTGGGGGAACAGCAGTTTATAACAATTTCAAATTATATTGACACCCCACCCTGGATCATCAACAGTGTTAGGCTCTTAAGATTCACAGCATGGTTCACAACCACTTGAGCTAAAAGAGTACTGTATCTGATAGGAGTAGAAGGCTGTAATCGTCATCCCAAATGGTTAAAGATTGGCAAAACAACTGAAAACAGGGTCTTAAAAGAGAAAGTGTTGAGCAAACTTGATTATCAGCATCACTCCCTGTGCCGCCTATAATTCATCCAAATACTAGGCTTAAACAAAATAGATATGAATCTTATTACAAAGAGACATTATGATTTGTAATAAAATTTTATCTGAATTAAAACATACTGTACTGATTTTTTTTTTTTTTTTTTTTTTTTTAAAAATATTTTTCTTTTGGTTAGTAACTTATGCACGGGCAAGTGTACTTTATACTTGAGTTACATGTATACAGTTCCTTGAGCTCTGAGTTTAACCCTGTATGATGATGGAGAACATAAATGAAAGGCTTGGTGTTCTGCCACTCCTCAGGGAAATGTAATATCGACTTTCATTGGAGAGATGGCTACATTCCAGCAGAAGTCTAATTTTTGTCCGTATCAACCTATATTATTGGATGTCATTCTCTGCTGCTGAATATTCTAATTCTCATGTTGTCAGGGTAATTTGTTCCTTTTTTCCCCAGGTATGGTATTTGTACTGCTTGGTACACAGAGATTACTACAAGTTAATATTTGAATTACATATACTGATACTGAGATCCTATTTCCCTTTTTTCCCCATGGCAATAAAGCACAGGCTTGCATGCCAAGAGGCAGAACTGCTGTTAAACAGATTGGCATAATTAATAATAAAGTATTCAAACTCCTCTCTTTAGGGTGACACTGGCCCTTTAAAAGGGAGCAAAACCAAGATCCTGTGACTGGACAGCTGACCACACTGGAGCTTTAAAAGAGGGCACCTGGACTTAAAGAGAGACCTACCTACCCACCCACCTACTGAGGAGGAGGCCTCAGAGCCAGTCAGGAAAAGTGCAGAGAAAATTGACATGAGGCTCTTGCTGCCTGGAAATAGAGACCCCCAAAGCACTAGGACTGTAATAGTATCCTGAGATGGGAGTCAGCAGGAACCTGAGAACTAAAGGAGGAATAAATCCTGGGAGCTGTAGCCCAGGAGGGTTGGGGAACTGTGTGTTGATTTTAGGGTGGCGAGATGTTCCGATTTTATAGGGACCGTCCCGATTTTGGAGTCTTTTTCTTATATAGGCTCCTATTACCCCTCACCCCCTGTCCCGATTTTTCACATTTGCTGTCTGGTCACCCTAGTTGACGGGTGGCTCCAGGTACCAGCGCACCAAGCGCGTGCCTGGGGCGGCAAGCTGCGGGGGGCGGCCTGCCAGTCGCTGTGGGGGTGGCAGTCATGGAGCCTTCGGCGGCATGCCTGCGGGAGGTCCGCCAGTCCTGCAGCAATTCGGCGGCGGGTACGCCGAAGCCACGGGACTGGTGGACCTCCCGCAGGCATGCCGCCAAATCCGCATTACCAGCCGGACCTCCCACAGGCACGCCACCAAAAGCCGCCTGACTGCCGTGCTTGGGGCGGCAAAATACATACAGCTGCCCCTGCTAGTTGATTTGACCTAAGTCTGGACAATAAACTGCATAAAAGAGACTATGGACATAACAGTGGGTTATCGGTGAAGCAGCCCTACCTTGTTAAATTATTAGCTGAATTCTGGCCTGAGGGAAAGAATGCAGGACAGGGCCGGATTAAGGCATGAACTAACTAAGATACAGTTTAGGGCCTTGCCATATGGAGGCCTCCAAAAAAGAAAAAATTGACTCCATTTCAAATGTTATCAAAATCGGTTGATAAATAAAGGAGAATGGGAAAAAGAAGATTCTCTCTAAATATAGACATTTTCATTCAAATATGACAAAAATATACACATCTGGCTACAAAAATACCCTTACTCTATCCTTACCCTTCACTAATTGTTTATTATTGACAGGCGGGAGGCCAGGGCTGAGAAAAAAACAGATAATTGCACTTTTAAAATTAGTAATTCTACAAGCAAGTCTGCTATCAGTCTCCTAAGGCAGCATTTTGTTGGACAGCTGCTACTGGTAAAATTCTGACCGTGCCTTCATAACTTATGTAAATAAATAAATAAATCTCACTGCCGATAAAATAGGGGAAAATGTGAGGATGGAGACGGCAGTGTCATGAAGCAATCCTGCCAAGCTCATACTCGTATGGGACTCGTCCTAGGAGTGACATCATGTATAGCGTCCCCCTTGGCTGGTAATAGCCAGAAGGCCAGAAGGCCGCCATCTTTTGTTTACAGTCCAGCACATATATTGCTCCTGTTTTTCT